ATTTAAAAAAATTATTTATTTATTCATACAAGAGATGGGATGTAGGTCAGAGGTACAGGGGTGGGGGGGGTGAGAGGATTCACCAGAGACAGATTGGGGAGCAGAACAGACAGATCTACTGAAATACACTGCTGAGGGGAGCAGCAGGTGAGACAGGAGAGGTCTGCTGTGCCACTGGGTTATCTCCCTGGCCAGGGATCTAACTCATGCTGTAGTTGCTGGCGATAGCTTGATAGGTCTGAGACTTTAACCCTTGGGTCACCAGGGAGACCCCTACTAGCTTTTATTAACAATAAAAGGTAATGAGCTTTCATCCAAACATAGTTTTTGACCTCAGATCTTATTCCCACAGGTTCTATGGAAACCAGAGGATTTGCATGTCCTAATGAGATTCCACTTACCTCAAAGGGATTGCGATAAAATTACCATCTCCAATGTTTAAAATAAATGTCATGTACATTCTTTGGAGGATTTTGGAAATGGAGGGAAAAAATAGGGGACTACCAACCTAGAAAGCTAAAATTGACCCCCCCACCCCCCACCGTGGCACAAGGGATTAAGTCTCAGCACTATGAAGCTATCACCAGCCACTGCAGCATGAGTTCAATCCCCAGCCAGGGAGCTAACTCACATGGCACAGCAGACCTCTCCTGACTCACCCACTGCTCCCCTCAGCAGTGTATTTCAGTAGATCCGCCTGTTCTGCTCCCCACTCTGTCTCTGATGTATCTTCTTACCCCTCCACCCCCCACACCTCTGGCCTACACCCCAGCTCTTGTGTGCATAAATAAATAAATCTTACAAAAAAAAAAAAGATAAGTTAGATTATGTCATTTCTCTGCTCAGAGAAATGACAGTAGTTCCCACTCACACCTAGAACAAAAGCCAAAATCTAATTTATATAACCCTCAACACTTTACAGGTCCTGACCTTGCATACCTCCTCCTCTTCATTTTCTACCCACCCTGCCCCAGGCACACATCCTACTTCAGTTATCATAGAGAAATCAAGAAGTTGTCTTGTGGTTCCCCAAACCTGCCAAGCACATTGGTGCTCGTAGTGTGCTTGCATATTCTGTGCCCTCTGCCATTAACACTTTCCACATTTCTTCCTCACTTGGTCCACATCCCTGCTCTTCTCTCCTCTCTAGGCCTTTCCTGACCTGTATCTAAAAGAGAACTTTCTCTATTGGGTTCCCATCTCCTTATTCCATTTTTCCTTATATAACTTTTTACTATATGATGGGAATTTTGATTGGTGTCTCTTCTGTTAGCATATAAGCTCCATTAATGCAGAGTATTCCCCACTGTAGCCCCAGTAAGTATGGAATTAATACTTGTTGAATGAGTTAATGAGTATAGGCTTTGCTCATTCTCTTTCACTGACTATACAGTTGGTCATATGATATTTTTTTTTTATTATTTTTAAAAGATTTATTTATTTATTTATTTATACAAGCACTGGGTATAGTCAGAAGCACGGGAGGGTGAGAGAATCCACCAGAGCCAGAGCAGGGAGCAGAGCAGGCAGAAGGACCGAAGTACACTGCTGAGGGGAGCAGCGGCGGTAGGAGAGGTCTGCGCACCATGTGGGACCCTCCTCCGGTGGCTGGGGAGCAGCCGGGGATCGAACTGGCGCTGCAGAGGCTGCAGGCAGCTTTGCAACCCAGCGCTCAACCGCTGCGCCACCGGGGAGGCCCTGATATTTTATTTTTTATTTATTTAAATTATTCCTTGCTTATCTAGCTAACAACCTTATGTCAGTTTCATAGCAATAGAACAAAAAGGTGACAGGGTCCTCATTGCTTAGTACATATCCTAGAATTCTGATGAAATCAAGGGCACACATATTCTAAATCCAAAGTACACAAGTTTGTTTTTCTTGCTTTTTCCCACAACTGACATGCACTGGTGAGTGGTCAAAAAATGAAAATAAAATACAGTACTTTGCCTTAATTTCCCTAGAATAACTCAGAACTAGATTTGGTTTGGGAGGAACAGACTAATACAAACAGCCCACACTTTCTTATTCCTTCTCTCAGATGCCATCTCATCTGCTTGTGTAGATGAGGACTTAACACTTGTGTGGATGACTCCTGTTGTATTCCAACATCAGTCAAATGAGCCTCTGGGAACACTGACTGTAGGTTGCTGTGTATTGATTGCTAAGGCCTTCCATTGGTTGGCTTGCATTTCTGGCTCCTGGGCCACTCCTCAACCACTTTTGATAGGAGAAAAAGATGTTTTAGTGCATATTAATTAAAGTTCTAAAAATTGACAAAGGTTGACTTGATGTTCTTAAATAATCTAGGCTAGTGCTTCCCAAACCAAATTACTTAACAAAATCACATGGACAGCTTTTTAGAAACACAGGTTTCCAAGTCCCATTCTAGCCCTGGGATAAGATGGGGCTCTGGTGTCTGGTGTGGTTCTCTTTCTTTTCCTCCTCCCTCCCCTCTTTATCATCCTCTTCTTTTTCATCATCCCCTATAATAGATCATATATGTTCCTAGTGCTGATAAGTGCTACCAAGCAAACAATGACAGAAAAATAGGAGTAGAGATGGTGGTGGTGGGGGGGTGGTTCTGAGGAGGCATCATTTGGTCTACTATGGGAAGTATTAGGGGGAATAACATTTTTAAGCAAGAAATGGTGTGGTGTGTTCACAAAATTAAAAGCTGACTAGTGTGATTGGAACATAGTGATTGGGGGGAGAGCTTGGTGTACTGTGGGAGGGAGGGCCTGGACACTTTGCAGACAAAAAGGAAGGGTTTGGGGTTTTTCCCCAGCACTGATATCTTCCTGAGAACTCTGAGCACTGTCTGGAGTCTAGATTGCGGGAGAATAAAAGTTGAAATTGTGACACGAGACATTTTGGTAATGAGTGGTCTAAAATAGTGGCACCCAGGGCCTCCCCGGTGGCGCAGCGGTTGAGCGCTGGATTGCGAAGCTGCCCGCAGCCTCTGCGGCCCGGTTCGATCCCCGGCTGCTCCCCGGCCACCGGAGGAGGGTCCCACATGGCGCGCAGACCTCTCCTGCCGCCCGCTGCTCCCCTCAGCAGTGTACTTCGGTCCTTCTGCCTGCTCTGCTCCCCGCTCTGGCTCTGGTGAATTCTCTCACCCTCCCGCGCTTCTGACTGTACCCAGTGGTTGTATAAATAAAGAAATAAACAAACAAATAAATAAATAAAAAAAAATAAAATAAAATAAAATAGTGGCACCCAAGAGAGAGGCAAGGGTGGTTTTGGGGTACATATTTTTAAAAGGTTGATAGGACTTGCCGATGAGTAGGAAGTGGGATTAGGGAGAGGGTGGGGAAAGCAAGGATAATACCAAGGTATGGGGGTGGCTTAGAGGCAATATTGGGTGTGGTTGAGTGCCAGTTGCCTCATGGCAAACTGGCAAAATGGGAGTAGTAAGGGGGTGGTACAGAATCAATATTTGTAAAGCTCTTAGAATAGAGGTTGGCACACAGTACAGCACTATGTAAGTCATAGTGCTGATGTGGATGGTGTTATATTCAAGGCCACACAGCTGGTTAGCAACAAGTCCAGGATGAGAAGCCAGGCTTAGCTTTTTGGTTCAGTATATTTTAAGCTGTACCGAGCTGTCTCCTTCAATTACTATTGAACTTTTCATTTATGCATGTTCTTGGTAGAGGATTTACTCGTAGTGGTACACGATGAGTCTCCCTTATTGTAACATGAGTGTTACACAAAACACAATAAATTGATAGAGTGTTATGTATAGCTTGGAATCCCAGGTTATTGTAGCTGTCCTAAAATGGCACAATTCCAGAGAAAAAGCAGGGCCCAGATTGTGGGATGAAGGGGTACCAAAAGAGAGATGTTCTCTGGACAGAATTTAAATATTAAGGGAAATATCTTCCAGAATATAGATGTGCTCATGTTGTGCACATGCTTAGGCTGGAGTAGGCTCATGCACTGCAACAGGAGACAGCATTAAGTGTCCTTCATATCGGAAGTTATAGGTCAGGATGTGCCAGGAGGAGGAAAGAAATAAAGCTAAGAATGTTAGCGTAACTCCTCCACATTGTCAGATTTCTAGTGATACATCTTAAAAGAAGTGTTTGAAGTGCTTCTATCTGTCAGTTTCAACTAAACTAATTTTTAAAAATTGCTCTTTGTGCTGTGCCTTTCTCATGAACCTCTGAGAGTTTAATGCATGCAATATGTGGGGGAAAATCCTATCAGCCTCAATTCCCATCCCCCTAAAGTCTGAGAAGCAGATTTTAGAAGCATATTGTTGCACCTGCAAGGATTTTGTCATTTTATTAAATGGACTGGAGACCATGTTCAGTGTGTTTTGTAGGAAGATATTTTAGAAAAAGGTGCAGAAAATAGCTAGTTGGCCCCTCTTCCCTGTGTTGACTGTCTCTTTGGTTGCACCTCTATCTCAAACAGCATAGGAAGGACTGTTCTTCATTACCAGGGAATGTGAGTCATTCCCAGACTTGTGTGATTGGGATTCCAAAGCGTTGCTGTATCCGATGGTCTTATTAAATCCAAGTGTCAGTGCAGCCTTTCAGACTGTAGGGGAGAGCTCTGTTACAGCTGGTGACCTGGTTCTAGTTACCACACAGAGACACTGGCAAGAGCAGTGACCCCCTCTGAGCACCCAGAATTCCTCATGGATGGCTGTTCCCAACTGTTCCCAGATTTGGGGGTTTGCTGGTTCACTTCATGGGCCTCAACACATATCAGCTCCCTGTTTATAGGCTCTTTGGGATCTGTATACTTCAGGGGGAAATGTTCTAGTGTCTGTAGACAAGCCAGTGCTACAATTTAACCTAGCTTTTGTAGGGTACCTCATTTCAGATTTACTCAGCCCTAACATGTTAACATCACCGTGACCAGGATCTAGCAAGACATTATCCATTCTCAGTTTGGTCCAAGCAAAACAAATAAAACATCAACTAGAGAGGGAAGGGACTATAGATGTTGCCAGAAAATTAGTTTGCTCTGTCTTTTCTTTCTCCTAGAATGTTTCACAGCCAATGGTGCAGATTATAGGGGAACGCAGAACTGGACGGCACTACAAGGCGGGAAGCCATGTCTGTTCTGGAACGAGACTTTTCAGCATCCATACAACACTCTGAAATACCCCAATGGGGAGGGGGGCCTGGGCGAGCATAACTATTGCAGGTAAGATGGTGCTTCCCTATACTTAAGAAAATCTCTGGTCTCCTCTTCAGACCCCTTCCAACCTTGCTCACTATTAAGGAAGTCTGTTTTTGACTCATTTTGGCCAACTTAGAAGACCTTTATTGTCACTGTTTTAAAAATCTTTGTCCCACCCTCACACACATACACATTCTACTCATCTTTTCAATTAGGATTGCTTTGATCCTGGTTTTTAGACCTCTGCTTTCCTATCTGGTCATTTTCATGTCTCTTGTGGAGGATTTTTACAGTTGACCTTACCACCAGGAAACAATACACAGACAGCAAAGCTTCTTAAGCTTTGGGGAATATAGTGGTCAAGAAAAGCACCATCTGTAACCCAAATCTTCCTCTGCTTCTGAGCAAAAAGGAAGCTGCCTTGCATAATCCCACCCCTTCCAAGTCCAGGATAACCTTGCTGTGGGAGCAGCATTAGCCATCAGATTTGTGCTGTTTCCGTCCTTTCGGTAGAGTAGGTGTTTCTTTCCCTTCACCTCCTGTGTCACTAGCAGGGGCTCTTAGCCTGAGATCTATGGTGTTTCAATTATGTACTCAAAATTTTTTGGGAACCTGATCCATGACTTTAATCAGATTTTCAAAGTTACTTATGCTCCAAAAGAAGTTAAGAATCACTGACCCGTAAGGATGATTGTTAAACTTTTGTTTTAGCTATTCACTCGCAAGTTCCTGGTAATATGTCTCATTGTTTAGCAATGTGTTGAATTTAATTATTAATAGGACAGGTGCAAAGGCAGCCTCTTGGGCTATTGGGATAGGGAAAAATGATCGCTGTAGTACACTTTGAGCAATACTCTCCTTCATTTTACCAGTATGTTGGAATCTCAGCCCTGGCACTGTTGACCCAGCTGAGCCAAGATATTTATACCTTTGTGGGCCACACTGTTTACCTTCTGCGCTCCCTGTGTACCTTTGCTCACATTCTAGGGCCCTGTGGTTGTCTTGAAGTCACCAGGCCTGTAATCCATGTTATCTTTATCCATGTACATTCAGCTCTTTTGTTCACCGCTGTCCTAAGTTGTACCAACTGGCCATTCCCCCATAGTTGCTGTTGCATTATTTTTCGTTTGTTATTATAAAACTGTTAAAAGCTTTTTAAAAATCTCAGACATAGCAAATAGATATTGTTTAAAGTCCCCCTCATTTTACTTCTTTCCCACCAAATCCTCCCTATCAAGCCCCACTTTCCAGAACTAATAATTTGTATATAGGCTATTCCACATTTTGCTATCTTTTGTATTTTATTATGAAAGTTATATATGCTCATTAATTCTTTTACATTTTATTTTGAAAGTTATTCATGTCCATTAATTTTTGCCTTTACATATTAAAAAAAATTAGTCCATTCTGGGGCCTCCCCGGTGGCGCAGCGGTTGAGCACTGGGTTGCGAAGCTGCCTGCAGCCTTTGCAGCGCCGGTTCGATCCCCGGCTGCTCCCCGGCCAGCAGAGGAGGGTCCCACATGGCGCGCAGACCTCTCCTGCCGCCCGCTGCTCCCCTCAGCAGTGTACTTCGGTCCTTCTGCCTGCTCTGCTCCCCACTCTAGCTCTGGTGAATTCTCTCACCCTCCCGTGCTTCTGACTGTACCCAGTGCTTGTATAAATAAATAAATAAATCTTTAAAAAAAAAAAAAATTAGTCCATTCTGGTTTATTTCTTGCTCTAGTTTTTTTATTCATAGGAATAGTTGGGTTGGGTTGGGAAGAATGTTTAGGAAGAAAACCAGTGTTTGTTTTTTGTTTTACATAATTATTTTCTTGTCCTAAAGTGTCTCTGTAGTGGGCTATTAGTTTATTCTCGTTCAGACTTGCTTTCTTTCAAGTAGTCTTCTCAGAAGATCTCCTGTTTTTAAGTCTGATTTAAAGTAAATGAAAATTTATAGTGAATTTTAATTTATATGAAAAAAAATTGTTTTCTCACTGATCAGCACCTAGTTCTACTCATGGACTACCAGAAATGCACCAATAAATATCCACCAAGAGAACTGTAAGAGGCAGGGAGGACTACCTTCTTTCTCGGTCCTGACAGACTACAATCCTTTCCTTTGATTTGATGGAATGTACCAGACCTGAACTACCAGTTTATACTTCAAAAAGGGAGGCTGAAATTGTGGATTATTATTACATTGGAGACTCCCAGCCTTTGTTTCTGCACTGTAGCAAAGTTAAAGATAAGTTTGCTTGTTCCTTATTAAGCTATTCTGATGCTTTTCAGAATGGTTCTGACATTGATAACACACAGTTGTTTTCTAAGGTCTTTACCAAATACTACATCAAAGCTGAACACTGAATAGAGGGAGGAAAATGACAGTGAAACACTGTTTAAAGAAGGGCTTTGTTCAAGTTCTCCTACTTTGATTTCTCAGCTGACACCTGACACCATGTTTGTTTTGTGTGATGTTTCCAGACATGTTTGAGATGTCTAAGAGATGGCGAGTAATGGAAACACACTTCTCTGGATGAGACATATCTCTGGATTAGAGGGGAAGACAGAGAAGCCGAGGAAGAGCAGAGTTGGCGCTGGCACCTGCCTTTGGGCACAAAAATAAAGGGACCCTTTGTGCCTCAGGGCAGCTTATCTTCTGGGCCACACAATAGGCTTATCCCTTTCAGGCCTGATAGGGGTTGCTCCAAAGCTCTGGCTGCAGGGTCTTTATGCCCATTTCCGGCCTAACCGGAGTGTCACGTTTCCAGTGTTCTGAGTCTAAATAAAGGGAGCTTGTAAAGCAGTGAGGAGAGGCCAGGCTTTTCTGTGTGTCCAGTGGCCCTTGCCATTTTTCAGTCTGTTTCAGCTGTGTTGCCCACTATTGTGATGGCATCTCTGCATTGAAGGGACCTCAAAGGGCATTTATTCCAAGCCACTCATTTAGAAATGTGACATCTTTAAGAAATATTATTGTTACATAAAAAGTAGTTGGTAGGATTACAGGATTATATATTCTAACAAAATCCTTGGCAGAGTTTTCTTCAGAAGTCTCTGAGAAGTTGGTATTTTGAGGTAGAAGTAGGACCCATTTCTATCAGATATAAGTTGATAGAAACTTGATAGGTTTCACCTGATAGGTTCAGTGGCACCTATATTATGTGCATTTGATTTTATTGTTTCAAAATAACAAAGTGTTCATTGAAGAGGAAATAAGAAATTAAAATTGCCAGTAGTCCTATTATCCAGAAACACTTTCAAGGATTTACTGTACATCCTTCCCTTAAGGATATACATGTTTTCAAATAACAGCATTGTGTCTTCTGTCATGTTTTAAAATTACCTTTAAATAAAAGCCTAATAAGACATTGTAACTATCTTTCCATATTAATAAATATATCTCAACACATTTATTTGACCAGTCCTTAATTATTGGGCATTTATTCTTCCCAGATTTTGTATTATAGAAATTCTTGTGAACATCTTTATAAGCAAAGATTTTCTTAGAATAATATACTAAAGGAGACACTGCTGATTAAAAGGGAGTTTGCTTACTTTTAGGGTCTTTGACACTAATTACCAAATTGCTATCCTGACCATTTGTGTCCATTCACATTGTCACTCAAGTTTTGAGGGCACCTGTGTTCGCCCTGTGTTCTCTCAGCTGTGGGAAATGCTGCAGTCCCAAACATGCCCAGCACTGTTTGGCATAATTTCTTTAGTGGTCATTTGTCCCAGTTACACTGTAGTGAGTTTGTGTAAACAAGTAACACCTTTGATCACACCCCTCCCCACCTGGTTTTGTAGTTTACCATTTTTTTTCTTCATAGGTGTTGGCATTGAGATACATTCCAAAGATAAGAAGTAATGAAGAAATGGAAACACTCCTTTTTGGTAGTGCTGAAAAACAATGAGCCAGGTGACTTGAACAATGGAAATGGAAACATTACTGGCTGTGTCCTTTTCGCCAACAGAAACCCTGATGGAGATGTGAGCCCCTGGTGCTACGTGGCAGAGCATGAGGACGGTGTCTACTGGAAGTACTGTGAGATACCTGCTTGCCAAAGTAAGTCTCAAATGCACCTCCTGCAGGTTTAGGACACTGCCAGCTAAGAAGCAAATTGGAAGGCCACTGCAATGGGCCAGTAGTTGAGGCAGGTACATTCATAAAGCAGGTGAAAAGAGAAGCCATTCTGGGCTGAGGATTTTCACTTTTCCTCATTGATGCTTTTCAGAAATGGGAATGCCCAGTACTCTCAGCATCCCACCCCCTGGATGGATAAGCTCAATCAGAATTTCTGCTTTTATTTAATCTCCTCCACCTTAACTGCCTCAGAGATGGCAACAGCTCAGTAGCAGACTAGAATAAAAAGTGTTTTGTAAGTCTTCCTCTGTTAATTTGTGTTAATTTTTTGAAGTGAATGAAGAACACCCAAATAGACAGTAAAATTAAGTTACAACACTACTTATTATTTCCACTTGACATGATGTGTCAACTGAAAAATGATTTTTAGTAAATATCTAATTAGAGTCCCTCCAGAGCCAATGTGATGTTCCTTTTTCTCACATTAGCATAGTGTACACACATGCACATAAATCAATATATGTATATATTTACCACTTATAACTTGTCCTCTCTGCTAAAAGCCGTTTTCAGCCTTTTACTATAAGGTCTGTTTCTGTCTCATTCATTCAGTCATTCATTCCTATGTTCAAAATATTCCTATTTTGAATATTCCTATGTTCAATATTTCAAAATATTTTGAATATTCCTATGTTCAAAATATTCCTATTTGTTCAAAATATTCCTATTTTCAAAACCAAAACTGAACTGGGTGCTGTAAGGAGTTTACTATTGTAGTCTTGGTAATACCTTTAAATTTGCTAAAGAAGCAGGATTTCTCAATCGTAGCGCTGAAGAAAAGGACAATTCACTCATAAGTATACCTGGCTATTTTTTCCTTATTTTTTAAACCTTCTTGCTCTCTCACCTTACTCACTCCTCAGTTCAGGAGGCTGTGTATATAGAATGATGTGGGGGTTCATGTGGGACCTGGGCCCCTCACTCGGGGCCACTACAGCAGTCTAAAATCTGATACCTCCAGCAAGAAGGGCAGCCCTTGACACCGGGCTGCAGGTGCAGTGCTCACCTTTCATGTGTTGCCACTGCCTGACAATTAGGCCCTGCTCTCACTATCCTTCCAATCTGAGTGTGTGTCTTGTTCAGTCCCAATTCTGAGAAAATAGTAAAGACTAGAAGAATAGGCTTTTGCTCAGTCTGCTTCATCAAAATTTAAAATGAAAAACATCTCATTTGGCTCTCGTTATGTAAAGAACAAAGCGGCAGGGGGAGAGGAAAGCAGATTTTCCTCGGTCCATTTGTTTTATACAAAGATAGTCTTTTAGTAACAGCCTATGTCACTCTCTCAGGAATAGTGAAGGGGGGATTTCAATCTGGGCGCTTTTATATGGAAAGATAATCCTCAACTTGCATTTATAAAATATAAATTGGGCCAATGGAAGCTGACTCATGTAGTTATTGAAACCAAATTATAACAAAATGGTACAAACCATCTAGTACCCCTTTAATTCTTAATATTTGTCAGATGTGCCTTGTTGTTCCAAAAAAAATTAGATATCATTTCCTTTTCTTATGGCTCTTTGGTAACTCTCTCAAAGTTTCAATAACTGGCCTTGAAATGGTCTGGATAGAGAGACTTACAAAAGTTGGGAATGAGAACTAGGAATACCAAGATTATAGGTGTGGGGTGAGTAGTTTTGGTTCTTTAGAAAATCTTACTGTTTGCTCTGTGGGCACCAGGGCCTCAGACCTTAAGTCTATCAGAAGATTGTGCTTTTAGTGTGTCTGATTAACAGTCCTGAAAATCTCCTGTGCTGTTTACAGCAAGAGTCTTTAGTAGTTGCCTGGTGGACTCAACTGAGATTCAGCCTGCCTGTTTTATGCTAGTTTTCCCCTATTTCTGGATATACAGAATCATGAATAATATGAGCCCTCTGTGAAGCTCACTATTCATGATTAGCATTGAATTTGTCATACAGGAAAAGGCCTGTGACATGATCAGATTCCTGGAAAGTTCATATCTGAATATAACAGACCCAGCAGGAGCCAGGGGGTACTGACTGTTTAGGGACAAAGCAGAATGTGGTTGAATGGTGGGCCATTGTGTGGAGACCGGAATCTCTGCCCCTTGGCATGTTACGTAGAGAGCTAAAACAAGCAGGGATGCAGAGATGAAGTATGAGTCAAAAAGAGGGCAAAGAGAAGTTTGAACTATGCTCTTGACCTATGGAGCACAGATCAGAACTTACTATTAAATAGAAAACAACTCGAGGTAATTGGATTTGCTCTTCAAACCACTTCTCCTGCAAGTTCTTTTTGTAGATAGAAGAAATGCAGATTTTTTAAAAGCAAATTACAATGTGATCAAATTTACCATCGCCCTAAATCTCACTCTCTAAATCTCTAATCCTGTTGGTTTGGCTTTCGAGGGGGGATATCATTTGACTTAATAACCTTTGCTTATCTCTCTTCTGTTAAGTAATTATCCTCACCATTCTAATTCCCATTTATTTCATTGCTTTTGAGGGACACTCTTGTATGGACCTCAACTTGGGCTTTTCTTTGATCTTTTTTACTTATAGGTTCTTTATAAAAGTTTTGTATGGTTTTTAAAAGTTAATAGTCTAGTCGTAAAGGAGGTTGGTCCTGCAAATGGCATTTAAAGACTAATATAATTTCTTCACATAACTAATTTGGGCCTGAGGTCACAGGCATGAGAAATTTACCTTCTCAACTTGGAGTGCTGTTTTTTGTATGCTATAAAATAGTCACCTGATTTCTACAGGCCAACCATAAAAACCCATCTTTGAATCTTTGAAATAGGGACATTTGAATATTAGTTTATATTAAGGAATCAATTTTAATTTTATTAGCTACAATAACGGTATGGTGGTTATATATTTATTAAATATTTATTAAATACATATTTATTAAATGCAGGACTTTAATATATACATTTTTAAAAGTTCTTTTAAGTCACAGATACACTGAAATAGTTGTAGCTGAAATTACATTATATCTGGGTTTTGTTTTAGAATGATCTAGCCTACTAGAGAGTAAGTGGGTGGGAATAAGGGAGACAGATGAAACAAGAAGGGTAAAAATAAACAGATATATAGGTATGTATGGATGCTGGGTGGCAGGCTTATTATTCTTTCCTACTTTTGTGTGTTTGAAGGTTTCCATTGTAAATAAATTTTGTAAGTTTAAAAATTTTCATAACTTTTAAAATATTAAAAAATAAATACATGGATTAAAATGTGTAACATGAGTCACCTTAATTGTGATATTGTTTCATGTAGCTCACAGGTATCTGAGTTAGTTATTAAAATTACTGATTAAAGTTTCAGTTAATAAACTTAACTAAAATCATTAAAGTTATTGAAACTATTAGTTATTAAAAATAGTTTGTTATTAAAGGTAGTTATTTAAGTTATTAAAGTTTAAAATCACAAGAACTTTAAAAGTTATTAACTGTGACAAATGACATTTCTGAAGGTCCTGCCATATACCAGCCCTTATATAACATGGGAGACAGCAGGATGGCATGGTCTACAGCCTGTGGGGAGCTGCTAGTCTAAGACCAAAACCAGACACATAAACAGAAAAATGAATGCAAGACATCTCTAGTAAGTGAGATGAGTGAAGGGTTAGGAGGACTGAGGAAAACATCTGCCCTGGCATAGTGGGAGGCAGGAGCTACTGTTGGTCAAAGAGGGCTTCTGGAACAAGCATGGTCTTAGTACAAGACTTCTCTATCATTATGGTGTATACAGTGCACAATCTGAGTCAATAGGACTGGGTCAGGCCTGAGACTCTGCATTTCTAACAAGCCCGTGAGGTGCAGGGTCACATTTTAAGTGTTCAGGTTCCAGATCTTAGGCTTGTTTGGAAGGAAACAGTTTGCGTGTGTACACATGCACAAACACACACACTGGTGGGTCCCAAGCAAGTCAGTGACAGGAATTTATAAGAGGAAAGGGCAGGTGATGAGATCTGAGAATTAGATGGGACCAGGTAATGGAAGGACTTGTGATCTGCCAACAGAACTTAGACTTGACCCAGGAAGATAGTGATAAGGAGAGAGTCGGGTATCAGAAGGAGAAATTTTTCCATAACTTCTTAAGCCTCTGTTTTAGGGATTTGGGAAGTTATTTCTCCCTCTTAATCCACAGGAAGTTCTCTGTTGACTATATCAATCATAAAGACCAGCCCTAAGAAGGTGCCAGGGTAGCACCTCTGCAGAGTGGGACCTCATCATCGCAGCCCGTGACCTCACTGGCTCAAGTTCCTTTTAACTATATGACTCCTTGACTTTCTGAAAACACGTTTGTTGTTGGACTTCCCTGGTGGTGCAAGGGGTTAAGTCTCAGCACTGTCAAACTATCTCCAGTCACTGCAGCATCATTTGATCCCCGGCCAAGGAGCTGACCCACATGGCGCAGCAGAACTCTCCTGTCTCGCCTGCTGCACCCCTCAGCAGTGTATTTCAATAGATCTGCCTGTTCTGCTCCCCACTCTGTCTCTGATGAATCCTATCACCCACCACAGACACACCTCTGGCCTGCACCCCAGTTCTTATATTCATAAATAAATAAAAATAAATCTTAAAAAAACACACATTTATTGTTCCTTACAAAAATGCGGCCTGAGAAACAGGATTTGAAAGCTTCTATATGTGATCCCTAATAAGAGTTTTTAAAGCTTTGTTCATAGTTTGAGTCAAGGGCACTGTAGTAGTGGAGGTCAAAAAAGTCTCTCAATTATAGAAAATGTTTTGTTTCTTCTAGAACTTTCTACATTTTAGCGTCAGCATTGATTTTTTTAGTATGTTTTACTATTCTAGTTAATATTGAGTGTGTACTATGTACAAAGCACTCATATTCACATTATCTTATTTATTAACCTTTTCAACAGTCATATGAAGCAGGTGACATGTCTACTCCTTCTCTACCATGGCTCAGATGAGAAAATGAGGCATGCGT